CACAGTAGATCAGTGTAAGGTTTTTCAGTCTCCTCCAATTTGATTTCATCCTTTCCAACCTCACTGATAATCTCTAAATGGACAGGGCAGACATCACTGAAAACAGCAGATGGCGTTATAGATCTTTCTGGAATGCCTGACTCACCAATTGTCTCACTGTCAGGTAACATTTCAGTGCATTCATCTTGTGGTCTTGTAGAATTTTCTTCTGAACTTAATTCAAGTGATGAATTAAAAGATTCACCTGTACTGCTTCTGTACGATGTCACATCTTGTGAGCCTTTATCTCCTTTTTGCTCTCCTTTATCAAGAACTATGTTTTTTCTACTTCCCTTAACAACAGTTTCCCTCCTTCGAAAGGTTTTCAAGAGTTTGCGTTTGGATTTCTCAACCTTAGTATCTTGGGAGTCTGTGTCTGGGCTAGATGAAGACTCTCCATGTGAAAGTTTTGGATCCCCTGGTAATACAAAATTACCTGTCTTTACAAGACGTTTGTGTCCTGGTCCACTGCAATCCGATTCAGACGATTCCTTATGAGATGTACTTTCACTTACTGAGTCCGTAGTTTCATTTGAATCTGTTAAAGAAGAATCAGCCTCAGTGATTTGCTCTACATTGATAGGGGAGATTTCAGTGCAGTCATCTGGTCTCGTTTGAGATTGTTTCTGAGAGTTCAAGTCAGAAAAAAACTCAAGAGCTCCATTCATTACAGTAGTAATGCATTCATGAAATGTAAGTGCTGGTTCTTCAAATTGAGAACGAGCTTCCCTCAAAGCTGCCCGTTTACGAGCAAAAAAATCTCTCAGATAGGATGTAACTTTATCGTCATATAGATTGGTTCCATTAATCCGGTCTTCTTCTTGCCACATTGAACACAAATGCTGTAATTCATTCATATCCCTTGTAACAGTGGCATGCACCTCTGAAAAGTTAATTTCAGCCATTGTTTATAGTAAGTAAAAAATACCTGCTTCCTTCTATCTCACAGGCTACTGTTCTAATGAACACCCAACTGTTCCTTCTGCAGACAAGAACCAGACTGTGATGTCATCAGTGGCGGGCCTTTTCTTTGAAGTTAGATGATGTCACAGGGCTAAGGTTAGCCTGTCTGCAGCAGCCCTCTCACGGCATAGCCGTGTGTTGAGTACTTTTGGCTGACATGGCGATTGTTTTGTTTGGCTTTAGCTTAAATTGGAAAAACGTATGATTTAATTTTATCTCATAAACTTATGATGTTTTATTAACTAAAGACCTTATGGAATTATTTTTGTATCTCTAACAGCTACAACCAAGATGTCAGAGGACGAAACTCACAATTATAAGCTAACTATTGAAGTCTTAGTATTTTAAAATTTTCACACAAGAGGGAGAGGAATTGGGTGGGTGGAAGAANAAGAATTTAATTAAAATAAGATTTTATATATATATATATATATATATATATATATATATATATATATATATATATATATATATGTATGTATATATCATTAACATCCCTCGTAACATTGTCAAACGTCTCTTAAGAGATTTCTTCAGCCATTGGTTATGTATGTAAAAATAAGAAATGCTTTCTTCAAGATCACAAGATAAGCTCCCTCCGTCTTCTGTTCTAATGAACATCCAACTGTTTTGTCTATATTTATAGACTAGAACCATCTCTATGGCTCTACTGTATCTTAACAGCTCTGAATATTTGTGTATCAACAATTTGAGTTAAAAATAGGTACATTAGTGTGTACATTTAATGCCTGGATGCATTATGAGCATCCTAGTGCCTTAAAAAACAAACAAAAAAAATATCCATGATTTACAAACTTTGTGAGCTTGCATTTGTCGTCAATCAATTGTCCTCAGCCAATACTTTATAGAGCCACATTTAGCTGCTGTTGCAGCTTCAAACCCTTTTGCTTATACAAACGTTGACAAAAATGATCGTACCCTTAACTTAATATTTTGTTGCACAACCTTTTTAGGCAATCACCACAAAAAATGATTCCTGTAAGTGTCAGTGAGACTCTAATAGTCCTTTTCTAAGGTCTGACTTTTCCAGATGGCATGTTTCAGCTCCTTTCAAGGATGCTCAATAGATTTATGTCATGCCTCAACAAAGGTACATCAGAATAGCCCAATGTTTTTCCTCTTAAGGCTGATTTATACTTCCAAACTAGGTTGTCTCCGTAGGTGCTGCAGACAGGAGGAATCTGACTGGTCAGATATACATCCGCTTGCTGGTTTGGTTTGTTTGTATGATCGCAATTGCGGATAAAGTTTGACCAGCTAGAAGAGCGAGGTGAGCGAGAACGTTGGGACCCTTTGTCCACCTGGATCCCCACTCTTGTTCACCCTCATGTCTCTCCGTTGTCGGAAAAACTCGCCCCCACTTCCTCACAGCCTTGGCCGTATCTAGACCCACAGCTAGTTCGTGATTGTCCCTCTTGCGTTGTGGCGTGGAATAACATAGTGCAGACCACGCTTCAATATTGAGCAAAAATCAAAAATATGTTTGATCTTTATTTAAGTTTTATTTTTTCAGAAGAAAAACTGTTGAACTGTTGCACAAGAAAGTTTGAAACTAAAAAAAAAATGTATTCTAAAACTAGCTTCTAGTACTTAAACTTAATCATCTACAGGTAGCCAGTCTCCTTTTTCTGGAGAGGAGGGGAGTGATGGCCTAGTGGTTAGGGCATTGCGCCTGGTATCCAGAGGTTCTGAGTTCAAGCCCCACTGCCACTCTGGCTCCCAGGGCAAAAACCCTTAACCCCACACTGCTCCTTGAGTGCCACACAATGGCAGCCCAATGCTCCCCAAGATGTATTAGTAATAACTGCACCTTTCTTTAAAGAAATCATTTAATTTTGCCCCAAAATGTCTCCTTGAGCAAATGCTTCATTTACGACAGCTAATGTATTTTGGTTTCAATACTTTCAATAAATAATTTTAAAAAAGCTGCATCTACAACTAGTTTTCATAAGTTAACATAGCTGAAGAATGGGAGCAAATACTTAAATCAATTCATTAATAATAGAATAAGAACACCAAAAAAAAAAAACGGTGGTCTGGCTGCTGACTCACCCTTCAGTCCTATGTCATGTCGGTGGTAGAGACTACTTAGGCCAGATTCGAGGCTTTCTGTGAAATTAGAACTCCTTTTAACATTTAAGGAACTTTGGGATGAGTGCCCACTTTGAATGTTTTATTGTTGTCAATCTCATATAGTCAAATAAACAATCATCTCTGTTTTGCAAAAATAGCAAATGACACTTTGTGACTGTGGCTGACAATCCCTAACACATGTATGGAAGTTTATTCCCATTTGAGTCATAATTGCTCCCTTTTGAGAGGGCGGATGTATCTTTTTAGGTATTTTGGTTCTAAAAGACATTTTCCTTTTTTTTTTATATTTTCCTTTTTTTTTTTATATATATATAAATATATATATATATATATATATATATATATATATATATATATATATATATATATATATATATATATATATATATATATATATATATATATATATATATATATATATATAAAAAAATAAAAGACGTTTTCCCTTTAAGAAAAACAAGCTTTGCCCTGAAATCCTTGACATGACACACAGACGACATCAGCTTTTTAATGTAATAAATGACAGGTTTATTGTTGCACAAAATATACAAAAGAACAAGCAAATGGAGAGCCCCTCCCCCTCCCTCTAGTTCATTCATCATAATGAAGCTGAAATTCTGAAAACCTATGACTACGGCAAGTCTGATGGTCCAAGCCAAACGCATGGTAATTCTGAGAGACAACACATACCCGAATTCAGCATCACCGAACAATTAAAAATGAATAGAAACACCTTATTTACACACTCTTGTCAGAACTTTTACAACATGCCATCTATGTATGTGTTACAGGGTGCGCTCCGGCACACACCCCGTGTAGAAAATAGATTATAAATTAAATCAGACTAAGGTCTATAGACATCCAACGTACAGCACTTTTTTTTAACGTTTTCCTTCAACTGTCTGAATTGTGTCTTCGGGCTCGTAGTAAAAGAAAGAAGGCTAGCTTGCTGGAGGCGGGAATGTTGGCTGTGAATCCAAGCAGAGCGTGTAGATGTCAGACAAGAAAGGCCTCGCTTATTTACATCAGAACACAGATCTCTCTTCAAATACCTGATTTCTTTCTGCTATTTCTTGTGTTTAAGATGATCAGTTATTTGTCAGGGCTACAAAACACCCCTGTAGCCCCTTTGATGATATAATAAGAGTGTAAACGAGTCAGCTTTTGGCACGAGGTGAAGGAGTGTGCTGTTGATCGCATTGATTCTAGGATCTGCTTTATTTAGCTGTAAATGGACAGCAAAACAAATGTGAGAAGAACTGACTTTCCTGGTTTGTTTTTCTCTCAACATAGTGGAAAAAGCTTGATATAGTCAGTACTGAAACATCTTTTTCTTTAGTTTTGGGTGTCGTATTTGAGCCAGATGATATCTCTAAGAAGCTAGGGCTGGGATATCTGAGCAACATTAGCACCATGGAGAACGAAACGCAGATATGAAGCTTTTCAAGTAAGGCCAGAGAACTGATGAAGGTTTTTGTGCTGGAACATGTTAAACGCCGGAGCACATTTACTTGAGCGGATGTTTGTTTTTGTTTTTTGTGCTGAAGGAAAACTATAAATCAGATCAGATGGATGGATAAATGGATAGATGGGTAAAAATTAGAGATCCTTTCATCCTGTACCCCACAGCTGTACTGATGTGGGGGAAAGAAGGGACGGAGGCGGAAGCAAATCTCCGGAGTGGATCCATCACATTGCTTCGTTGGCCTGCGTGTGGAAATCAGTGCAGCTGAGGGATACCAAGCCACCACTTCCACCAGGAACGAGAGGGCTTCAAGGGACCACTTCAGGGGGAAAGAAGATGGCATCGTTTTTTTCAAAGGGTGTGTGCAAAAATACTCATCTGACCACAGCAAGAACATGAAACTCTATCTACTCTTACATTTTGGTTCTGACCTTAATTTTCCCAATATAGCTTCTTCTCTTATCCTAGCAAACTGTTAATCTGAGGCTTGTGTTTCACTTCTTTTAATAAATATCTATAATCTTCATTTCTGGCTTTCCTTCTTTTTTTTTTCTCTTTTCTTACTTTACAAAATGAGAGACAGAATGATGGACAGCTGATAATATATATAATTAAATTCTTCTTCTTCTTCTAATCGTCAGGTTGCTCCTAAACCAGAGATGGCTCTCTCCGTCCGTTGTAAACAAACAGCTTTTTTCAGCCTCTGGTGTCTTTTTCCCTCCGTCTTCAAGTGCGCTCCGACATTTTCCCCTTTCCTCTGGAGTTCTTTCATTGCAGCAGGGCTCTGATTTGTTTGGAGGTGCTGTCATCGTTTAGATGCCGTGTCGTGTACCTAAAGAAGAAGAAAGAAAATGAAACAAAAAAGCCTTTTAATTACAGCAACAGCTACATATATTGGTAACTCTGGCAGCATAACCTCAATCACAAAAAAAGGAGAAATATAAGCCTTTATGTTTACCTTTAAAAATCATGTTAAGAAATAATTGATTATTATTTAATCCCCTTAACAAAAACAATACCTGCTGCATTTTTAAATCATATTGATCTTTCTGTCAGCTCGAATATTTGGAAATAAGGTAGGGTGGAAGATCTGTGATGCTGAGGGCTTTTTCTATTTTAAAGGCCCTGAGGAGCTTGAGAATAATAAACTCATTGAAATTCCAGAATAATTTTAATAAAATAAAAACGGTTTGAACGCTGGAAATGAGTCACTTTTGAGTTTTTCTACAGGATAACAAACGATTCGATTTTTTTCCTGTATAACTAAAAGAAAAAAAAAAATTCTAAATTTCTTAAAGTCAGTCGTTTCCTTTTATTCTTTTTCTGTGTGTTCTTAACAACAGGAGCAGAATATGGGTCAGACTTTCAAATAATTTGCTGTATTCAGTTTCTGTTCTAAATTGTAGTTTAACTTATTAGACATAAACTAAAAATGTACGGAATAAGAAGGTTATTTAAACATGAATCCATTCCAATTTTATTTGTTAATCCCTTAAAAACAACCATATCCAGAGATGGCAAAAGTACTCACTTTCCATACTTGAGTAAAAGTACAGATACTTGTGTTAAAAAATACTCTGGTAAAAGTAGAAGTACTGATTAAACTTCTTTACTCAAGTAAAAGTAACAAAGTACAGGCTTGTAAATGTACTTAAAGTATAAAAGTAAAAGTAGAAACCACTTTTTTCATGCCGTTGCCTACATTTTAAATGGATGTCTGCCAATAGGACTAGATCTCCGTTGTGTTCATTTTCAATCATGCTAACGCCACCGCCACCAAGCTGCAATGATTTGCCGCGAATGAATATCGCCGAATCTGTCGATTCATCTTGTAGTGGTGCGTCAAATGCAACGTAGATTCCCATCCAATTAGATTGAATTTGGTATTGATGATGTGAAAAATAATAACAGTAACTCCATTGAAATGATTCAAAACTAAAGTAACGAGCCAATTTTTTTAAAAGTAAGGAGTCGAAAGTACAGATATTTGTGTAAAAATGTAAGGAGTAAAAGTAAAAAGTCGCCATAAAAATAAGTAGTAAAGTAAAGTAAAAATATCAGAAAAATCTACTTGAGTACAGTAACGAAGTATTTGTACTTCGTTACTTCCCATCTCTGACCATATCTGACTAAATGAAAAAAAAGATAATAATAAAATAAGTAAAACAAAGAACAGTACAGATAAATAAAAAAAAACAGCTAAAACATTGGTAAAAAATAACATTCACAAAATCAAATCAGTAAAATTGGGTAAAAAAAAGGAATAAAAGATAAAAAATGATAAAATAAAATAAAGCCCAATGTCTTGCTAGGTGTTAAAAGCCAAAGAAAAAATGTTGGGTTTGACAGGAGATTTAAAAACAGCCAGAGTCCCCTCTGAGCTTCAGCTTTAGGCTCTCTCAGGAGAACCTGACCACCTGGAAGAGCCTGTAGGTCTATAAGGATGAAGAAGCTCAGAGAGGTACAGTGGGGCAGCAAACATTCAGGGATTTAAAAGCAAATAAAATAATTTTAATATGAATTCTAAAATGTATGGACAGGCAGTAGAGTGAGGCTAACATGGGAGAGATATGCTCATACTGTGTGTACCAGATAAAAGCCCCGCTGCAGCATTTTGAACCATCTGGAGACGGGAGATGGAGGAGGCACTAACCCCCACATAGAGGACATCGCAATAATCCAGCCGAGTGGTAACAAAGGCGTGGATTACCATTTCAAACTGTTTCTTTGAAAGAATTAGCTTTATTTTGGCCAGCTGTCTCAAATGATAAAAACTTGATTTAACAACTGCTCTGATCTGGCTGTCAAACTTCAGATCTGCTTCCACTCTTACCCCTAGGTTAGTGATAACTGGTTTGATATGCTGGACCAAAGAGCCCAGATCTATTCATGCGGTATCACCAAAAACCATCACTTCAGTCTTTCTTTTATTAAAATGTAAAAAGTTCAGAGACATCCAAGCCTTTATGTCATCAATATGCTTGATTAAGGCAGTGATAGAGTGGGCATCTTTCTTTTTAAGAAATTTTTTGTTTCAGATGATGCTACTGGCAGCCGTTTTTAAAAACCTTAAAGCTTAGATGCTAGTCTCTGCTTTACATCCATCTGTACTCACCTCAGTGCATTCAGGAGACCCTCCACGCTGTTGGACGGTTGCTCTTTCAGCACCTTGATGCAGCCTTTCATCTGCCAGCCAACAGAGATGACAGGACATTAGAGGAGAGGAAAGGTCAGCCGCCTGGGATCAGCCTCTTCTACAAGCTGCTGTGTTTATTTACAATTATTTACTGTTTTAACATGGATTTTATTGAACTTTCAATTTTTCTTACCGTTCTATTAAATTATAAACTAATTCAAGTGTTTCCTTTTATGATGGCTTCCCATTTAGACATTACTTTCTTGTTGCCACGGCAACAGAAGAAAGAGAACAAGGTGCACGAATGCTGAGTCATGTTTGGTTTTAAAAAGCTGAATCTGGTCAGCAGCAATGGAGATCAGAAGATTAAATTAAGAATCGGTAATTTATGGTGTAAATATTGAGGCAGAGCTCATACCTCATAAGTTGGCAGGTTGTGTAAGATCCAGTAGATGGAGAAAATCTGACCTCCAAGGAGTCAGTATAGGCTTATTGGTAGGTTATCAGATTCGGCCATAAGTTTTGCATTTGTGCTTTCTATTTTTTTTTGGATTATAAAGTGCCTTAATATCCCAACATTGCTTTGAGTGTTTGACATTTTTCTGAAAATATTTGCAGCACTCACATCAATTTTAGAGGTTTTGGCGAAGGCTCCCACGGGATGGACATGGTCGTAGAGGATGATGACGCCCACCATCACCCTCATGCAGAACAGCATGGTGTCTGTGTTGGTGAACCGGCAGCGGTACTCCCTGCAACATGGAGGATCACAGAGAAAAACGACTTATCTTACAGCAAGTCATCACTTCAAATTAAAAAGGGGGACATAGGCTAAGGTGTGGTTGGTTATAGAGCCGCTGTACTGAAAACATACAGTACAAATGTTAAAATAAAAGTCCTTTTTTCGTGCAATAAATGTATTTTTCTTTGATTTGAGCAGGAAGGTAAGACAGTTTAAAGCTGGGATAAGATGATTTACAGTTGCAAAAAAAAAATTTATATATATAATCTTATTTGAATTGGATAATATGTAATTATCTTATTTTAAGGGCACAAATACTCGTTCCATCTGCAGATCATCTTATTTACCTACTCAGTGTTACAGTAGGGCAAATACACTGATTTTTCAGACCTTTTTTTCGATCAGTTTTTGCAGCATAATGCTACGTTCACACCGGACGCGCTTTTATCAAAACATCTGCTGCTTCATTTTTCATGCTCGTACACATTGAGGTCAGACGCGCGTCAAGATCATGGTTGATGTTCCTGACGTGCGTCCAGTAAGGTGTGTACAGAAGCGTCTGATGCCTCTGCTGCTCCTGTGATCAATGGCAGAGAGCGGCTTTGCTATATTTGCTGTGATCAGCTGGTAAAAAAAAGTTTTATTATATTTTCAAGCGAGAAAATCCACCTCAAAACATCGTCTGTGCAGTCAGTTCATCAAGAGGACGATCCTGTGTTAAAATATTATATTGCTGTCGGAGCAGCTAAGATCTCCACATACTGACGGTGCTGTCACTGGATATCCCCAGCAGCAGCTGGGGGGTTTCTGCTACAGTTCATTGCAGCTGGAAGTAGATGTTAGCTCAGGCATGTGGTACAAACTGCAGGCACCAGAATAATAAAAGCAAACATATTTTGCTGGCAGGTTAAAAAATTTTAAGTTAACTTAGGCATTAATAAACTGTTTTAGAGAAGTGATGATAGCGATCTGCATCAGCAGTGATGCCCGTCTCCCTGCCAGCTCCCAGATCAGCTTCTTTGATTGGTTTATATGCGTGTCGAGCACGTCCAGCGCCTCAGATACTCAGACCCTGGTAAGGCGCTGCTTAAGCTGCTCAGATGTGTCAACACGCTGCTCATGCTGCTCTAGATGCACTGCAGGACGCGTGTAAACCATTAACTTTGCATGTAAAACAGCTGTTTCTGCTGCTTCAATCGCGTGCAGTGTGAACATTAATGTTCTTTCTTGTTTCTGCATTGTTTATTATCTATTTTTTTCCCTACTTGCTTTGATTGTGTTTTATTTTCCTATATTATAATCATGTAAAGCACTTTGCATTGTCTTTGTACTGAATTGTGCTATACAAATAAATTTTGTCTTGCCTTGCCTTGCCTAATCGCAAATCAGTTGATATTCGCTGAGAGCAGGACATTTCTGATTGGTCTGATTTAATATTTCACCTTTGCAATTTCCTTCGAGTGATTATTTAGAAATTGCGGTCAGTTTTATGCTTCAGTTGCATCAAGATAGGATAAGAGTATTCATCTGATCAGGAGTCCGAAACCTTGGATATGTGTCTCATGAGCGTCCTTGTCCTATTGTTTTGTGTGTCTGAGTTTGTTATTTTTCTAGTTCTCTGCCCCCCATGTAAAAACACATCCCCCCCTGGTCATTTTTCTCTAGAACCGCCACTGGGCTGAGGTGACCCAAGATAACAGGGAGCTGAAGGAAAAATCCAGTGAAAAGGAATTTTCTACATTTAGAATCTGTGCATATTAGACTGAAGCTGTTGGATTAGCTCCTCATAGTTAGATCAGCCTCTGTTGTTCACTTTGAAAGCCTGCTAATTATAAAGTAGGTCTCTGGCATCATGAGGGATAGAGAATGAGAGAATGATTATTGGGAGGGAAAACACTTACGGGGTCTCCAGCATGACACGGCACACACAGGCCATGGTGCTCAGGCAGTCTGTGGTGTCCTCTATGGGCAGAGTCTTGTTCTGCACAGAGACAACCACAGAACATATACATATTTAAATCACAAAAAAATATATATACAAAGAAAGAAAAAACCTGCAAAGCTGTGAAGTGAAGATCATCTTAAACACTAGGGGGAGACAAAACACCATGGAAGAGTTTTGGCTAAAAGGCAGCAGTGAACAGGCTGTCCTCTGCATTTTACATGAGACTCTGCAGGACCCATGACCCATCAGAAAAATGGCATCAAAAAACTCTGATTATATTTATTATCTAAGAGGCCCATAGATGATCATAGAGAAGATCTAATTTCCTTTCCAAGAGCGCCATCATACTTAAAAATATGTCAATATTACCTAAATAAAACCAAATGGAACAATAACAACATTCGTAGAAACTGAGAAACTCTGGGTTAAAATCAAGGAAACTATTGGGCAGGATTTATTTTTTAAACAATGTTATTACACCTTCATGACACTTTCATGTTATTACAGAATGCATGCATGCATTCTTAGGCTTCTAAAACAGCTTTCGCTCTTTTAGCAAGGCTTTGAGTATCAACATTCTTCCAGAGACGTTGACGATCATATTCCTAAGAAAGCTGTTTCATATCCTGATAGTTTGAATTTTGATTAATAGAACTCTGATTAAAAGGAGGAATTTTAATTGTTTTAGCTAGAGCTGCATTGATCCATTAATTGAGGTGTGTTCGACAGTATAGCACCATGCATCGGTGCCTTGTTAAAAAAAAATGTAACTGATTAACACAGATATAACTGTACTTCATATTATTTACTAACAAATAAGCAGCAAAAAGAAAGAAAAACAGCTCTATGTAAAGTACACTGCATTGGATCTCTGATATCTGAATTAATTTGACTGCATGTTCTGGTTGAATTATAAAGTGCCTTGAGCTGACATGTGTTGTTAATTGGCACTATATAAATAAACTGAATTGAATTGATATCAAATTAATTACTAAAGATCTGACTTGATATCCAATTCAGGAATCAGATCAGTGCTTCTCTAGTTTTATTATAAACTTTGACTTTAGTTGTCCATCATAGGGCCATATAAAAATCAGCCGTTATTTTAATTGGGGCCAAAGTTCTTATACGTTACCTACAATTAGCAGCAACATTTTAAAGTTAATCCCCCAACATACTTCAGCTGATATTTTCTGCAATGAGGGGCTTTAATTTACTAATTAGGTCCTTTATTTGCCAGGTTTATTGATTGCATTAATACCTCCTTCTTTCCCCTATGTGATCTTTGTTTGTTTTGTTTTTTAAAGTTAGAGTTTGACCCCAGACGACCGTACCTCTGAAACGAACTTGGTGGTGGCGTTACTCAAGGTCTTCAGCATCGGTGTTGCTTCAGCGTAAAACAGGGACATCCGGTTGGCCATTTCGTTGTTTACCTCATTCTCTGCATCCAGCTGTTTGGACCCCAAGATGAGAAGCAACAGTTTAATAATCACAACTCACAATAACAGCTGCATGATTATGCCAGCTATGAGACAAGTAACATTACTCTTAATTACTTATTGTGTCAACTAGAATATGGATTGTTGCTAAATGAATGGAAGGGAAGCAGAGGACCCATTTATAATCAATAAATAGTCATTTATTGACTTGGTTATGATCCTACCTGCTGGTTATTCAGCCTGTTCCTACTTATAGTCCTCCTGTAGTAGCTGAAGTCATTCTGAATGGCTGGATTTGTCATCTGCCAACAACATCAGTCAGATTTTATGATGTTATAAAATAGAAATGTCTTTTTTATACATGCAGCAGTGGTGATTATTGGAACAAATGTGGACAATTATTTTCACCTTTAGTTCATCAAAGCTGAGTGTAAAATGCAGAATCTCAGCAAACTGCTTGGCCAGGGCCTGTTCTCGCTCCAGGTGCTGCATGGGCGCGTAGGGTGGGCTGGTCAGCGCCTCCAGCAGGCTGCGCAGAGCGTTCTCTGCAGAGAAAAACACCAAAACCATCGACTTTAACTACCAAACTATCTGTTTGATCAGGTTGTTACACACTTCTGAACTTTTCAGATCATTTTAAAACAAGTTTCTAACAGATTTACAACCTGTTGTATTTATGATATGATATATTACATTCTTTACTGATTTATTTAATATCATCCATAAATAAAATCCAATAAAGCCAAATACTTTCACAGCTGGGCTAGTGTCTCAATATTAACACACCGAGGGATATTTCATAAAACTCAATCATTAAAAGTCAGAATTAGACCCTCAGTTCAGAGATATGTTAGGTCACGATCACTAGTTTCACTAAAATAACTCTTGCTTGCTTAATATCAATAATTCAGGTTCAACTAATCAGTGTTGCTTCCCACATAAGTAGACCGTGCAGTCGATCACAGAGCTCATTGAGGAACCATGGCGAAATGTGAATGTAAATCGTATTTTAAGTAAGTAAAAGGTTATGAGGAGTTTAGAAATTTAATGGAAAAATAAAAGTGAAATACTGTTAAACAGGACAAAGAGGATGGCAGGCCATGGCTGAGAGATTAACACACATTATTTCCACAGATCCGTCCAATTTAAAAATGAAATTTAACCAGTGTCAGTTCTTACAACATTTCAATACGTATTAGTATCAGTGTTTTAATGGAAATGTTAAAGATTTTAATAGAAATGTAGTTAAATCTAGTGTCAGTATGGGAATCTTAGTCATAGTTTTAGACCAGAACTACATTTATTTAAGAATTAGTCAGATTTTATATATATATATATATATATGGTGCTATACTGTCTGACACCAGAGTCTGACCTCTGAGGCTGCATGGTGTAGAGATGCATCAAAAGCAAAGCCTTCTGTCACCTCATCACTTCCCCTGCATTAAAAATGCATTATGGCCTCCTATAAATACAACAGAGAAGTGTTTAATCTAAAGGGCCAGGGCAGAAACCCCTCTCTCCCTCCTGCTGCTACCATAAAGCACCTGCTCTCCATCCTGTGCACTGACTGCTATTGATTGCTGCGTTGCATCAAGTATCACTTTGCTGAATTGTATTCTATTTTCTACGTATAATCTGACAAAATATGTTGAAAAAAATGAAATAAGTGCAGGGTGCAGAGAGAGGATGTGGAACATGTAGGATGGATCATAAGGATTGTATCCTTCCCTCTCCATCATGATGGAGGCTGAGCTCCCTTCTGATAAGGTGGAATCATTCTCATCAATTATTAGCTAGCCCTCACTTTATGGTAAGCTGAGAACACCGTGTCCCTGAAATGGAGATATTATTGGAAGGCAGAGCAGAGGCGGCTGCTGAACTCCGTTTTGCTCTCTCTGTCTTTTTCAGCACCGGACAAACCATGTACCACTGTTTCCTTAGCAACGGCAGCCTCGTGGCTTGGTCAGGATGCGGCAGAGATGCTGTCGAGGACGGGGCTTGGTTTTGAGCGTGAATGCATGTTTAGGAATGGTGAGGAACTGAAAAGCGCAATTCCAAAACATCGGAATAGCTTCAAACTAACATGACAGCACTGCCATCTGACTGTTCAGTTTTCCCAAGGTGTATAACAAAGCTTCATTTACCACTTTTATGCATCTTTGTTTTCCCTGATTTAAATGAAAAGCATACTAGCAGAGAGTAAACTCACAAGAGTGCAGGATTTCAGTCCCCTTTAGCAGGATGTTGTGGCAGAAGGTTAACTAAATGAAAACTATGCTTACATTACAGTGACTTATATAGAATATTTGCGTGACGGAGGATCTGTCAGTTCAATCATTTTCTCATCCATACAACCATTTTGTCTTTTACTTCAGAACAAGACTTTCCATTTCTAATCTTTCAGCCATTCCTTGGTGGATTTGCGTCGTTGTCGTGTTAAAGAATCCAAATCTGCTTCTACTTTTTAAGAGACGATTTCACATCTTCCGTAACCTGCCTCTGGGACACGGTGATAATCATGGTGGATTCTAGACTCTCTATTAGGGTAATTTCCTAAAATGCTATATTTGGTTTATTCCCAACAAGTCTTGTTATGGTTTTGGTTCTATTTCATTTTTATCTTTGAGTTTTAATTGGTTTTATTTATATTTTGTTTTATTCAGGTTATTTTTGATTGTATCTGCGTTCTTATGTATTTCCTGTTTGCTCTCTGTTGCCCTCTTGTGTCAGTCTCTTTTTCCTTAGCTCCCTTCTAGACTCCTCTGTTCACACCTGCTCCCAATCTGCTGATTAGCCTGGTCTTTGTTTCTCTCTCCCATATATGCACCTCCTGCTCAGTAACTGTTTGCGATTTGTTATCATTTCTTTGCCCCCTTGTTGTGAGTATTCCCGGTTCTCAGTTTTTGTGGATTTATGTTTTTGGATTTTTGCTTCTGCTGAACTTTTTTGGATAATAAATCTTCTGGTCTTCTGTTCTGGTCTTTAAATAGTTAACTTTGAAGCTCATTTGTTCAAAGAACATTATTCCAGAAAACCTAGTCCGTGTTAATTTAATGTTTTTCTGAAGAAATTTGTGCATCAAAGCCTTTGTATTTCTGTTAGAGAGCAGACAGTTTCTCACCTCCCAAAACTCAACTAATGCCGCCGCCTCTTTCTAGTTGTACAAAGAAACCCCTCTGCTATAGACAGCATCTTTCAGCATCTTGTTTTCTACTGTCTTCTTGTACTTCTATTCTATTTCATCTACTTGAAGCCTATTTTTTTGGAAGCTGTAAAGGCTAATTTCTAACGATTTTTAATCCCTGTAAAGCCTAAACCAGTGAATATTAATCAGAGTGTTCTGTTTATTTTTTTTTAACTATAGGGGTTATTGAAAATACTGACAAATATAAACAAAAAATGTAATGAGTCAAATTAAATATGTAATTTGTATTATTTGTGATACAGTAGGCATTACTGTGCAGTTTAATATAGAATTTCTGTCCAATACATGTGTCTGATGTGACACTGATGATAAAGAGATCTCATAAATTCAGGTATCAAATATGATACAGTCGGTGTTAAAGGGTTAACACCTTTTTAAATCCATACTGGACTCATAAGCTGCTGCTTTTCTCAGAAGGCAACGGAAAGTTTAAGTCTTTTACACTTTAATTCTGCTCTCCTTTGTCAGGATTACACCAGTTCAAACCCTCATGTGCTCCGGATGTAACAGTTGCCTGTGATTTTAACCATTTTAAGTCGAGAATGAGCCAATGCATTCCTTACCTAAAATTTAAGTTTACTAAAATAATTAATTGTATTTCCCTTACTTTCAGTTGTTGTAATAAAGGATCACTTACTGAAAATCAATAAAAAAAATGTCTATATTTTATTTCAGGATGCTGCATGGTTTCCTAATTTCCCAAATTGAATGTAGCTGATGCATGGCTATAAAGGAGTTTAAAGTAAATATTAAATTGTTTCTGTTTATCTACATGTTATAAAGTTAGTGCAGCAGCACAGCTGGCTGGTGTAAAAACATAGAAAAGTAGTAACTTGTGCTTTTACCTTCTCTACCTTCTATTGCCATTAATGAAAGTAAATAAGAACCATGGCAGTAAAACATCTATCACATTTCTGCTGCATGCCACCCTGCTGCAGTTTTCTCCACATCTCCAGTAGTTCATAAATATTCAGCTGCAGTAGCTTCCTTGCTTAGATTTAGTTTTGAGTTCTAGTTAATTTCAGGTCACTTTGAGCTTCTGATCCGGATTAGACGGCCATATTGTTCTGTTATCCTCTTGGATAGTTTTCAGCTTTGGTTTTTAGGCTCACCCAGTCTGAGGGAGAACTCGTAGAACCTCTTCAGTTTGGCCACCAGGGGGCAGACTGCGTTCCAGGCTTTCTCCTGAAGAGCAAGGTCGCCAGGGTTCTGGATGGCCTGCAGGAGGGTACACAAAACCAGATGTCATAATAAAAAATAAAAAAAAAACTTCTCTGAACTCTTCTTCTGCCATTTTTTTCACGATAAAGAAACATTTTCCATTTTGGGTTCAAGGTACTTTCTTACCACAGCATCTCCAACTGACGGATCACATATCTAGATCTAACAAGTTTGCATTACAAACCAGATATATGAGGATGTATAGGTTCTAAAGAAGGAACTCAAATCTGGCTAAATTACTTCGACTAAACTAATCAAATTCAGGGGCATCACTTGAGTTAATTTGGTATTAAGTGATTATATAAATCTATTTCTCATGAGACGTAGGCAGCAGCATTTAATTATGTTCATACTTCTATTGAAGTAAAAGTCTCTCTCAGAATAAGTGGGATTTTCTCCCTTTTCTTTGCTTCATGCTTCACTGACTGAAGGTGGGGCGTGAAAAGTGAACCAGGTCCAGAGAGATGAAGACTGACTGAGATTTTTGTGCTTTATAACATTTCTTCAAGGTCTGCGCGTCAGCAAAGCAAAGAAATGATTCAGCGCTTGTCGCTGAAGTCATAAAAGTAAAGTCAGCAGCAGAAAGCATTCCTGCTGAGGATAAAACACTTTTTCTGGTACATGTTGCTGTGAAAAAAGCTTAAAGTACTGTTCCTGCCAAAAAGGTTATCGTATACTGTGATCATTTAATGTGGAGCAAAAAAAAATGCAATGTGTTTTATCTGGAGTTTATTCAAAAGAGCAATACATATAGAAAAAAGTTGAATGTGTGACCTTCATGCATTTATGGGATGTCACAACTGTGCCCATGGAGAAACATGGTAATAAAGATGTTTTTCTTCAACAAGGGTATTAAAACTGGTTAAACGGAGGGAAGTTGGAGCTAAAACAGGAATACAGGAGAGAAAACTGTAAAAAGATGGAGTCACCTTTATGTTTACCTAAGAATATAAATTGATTTATCATGTGTGGAAAGAGTTAAAGGTATAGTGGAGGATGTTCTTTTTCCAGGTGGATCATCAAAATAAGTGGTCCATATTTATCTAAAGCCTTCCTACGTGCTCATCCCCATTTTCACCTACTGGTGAGAGTCTGACTTAGTGGAAAAAATGCACATTTTCTTGTGGAAGCTAAGCTTGTATGAGCGATGAACACAGCAACTTTTAAACAGAGCGTGCACGAGGAGAAATGGGCTTGTGCTCTCGCACGCGTTCTCGGGAGCGGATACAGGGTTGTGCATGTGCATTTTTTTTTTAAAGTGCAGAGGGCAGTTCTTTACAAGAATTTAACAAAATCCTCCACTATACCTTTAAGTGAAAGTTCAGAATCTGTGGCAAGACTTTAAAATTGACTTGACTTGATGTTTGAGAAGGATTTGAGTTTCTAGATATATAAAGCTGTTAAAGATTGAATAATATTATGGACTTGTTTTGCTTTGCTGCAGCATATATAATCCTAATAACATGCCATGAAGGTTGTAGCTTAAGAGAATGTGAAAAAGTCAGAAGACTATAAACCAACTTTTGCAGGACATTTTGCTGTTTGAATTTCATTGGCCAATATTTTGTTTTTCCTGTTCATCTCTGAGCTCCTCACCTCTCGTATCTCCTGCCCCGCGCCGTTATAGGACTGCAGCTCAGCCAGGATGCCGTGGGCCTCCTCCAGGACGGCACTGACCTGGTTCCACACGGCCGTCTCTGCCTCGGTGGGCTGGGCATCTGCCCCGGTGGGGAGGGAGAGTGGAATATAAGGTAAAGGGACCAGATCAAAGTGTTCATAGAGAGAAGGCAAAGAGCAAGAGAGAGGAGTGAAAAAGAGCAGAGAGGATCGGAGGAGAGAAGAAGGTTAATAAGGCAGAAAGAGTTAAAATGTTGTTCTAGACTAGACAAAAACCTGGGATTAATCTCTCTGCTGCTACAGCACTTTATCAAACTGAGGCTTGAATCTGACCCAGGCATCAAAGATTCACTCTGACTTTAAAAGCTTTCTAGATTTTTATTTTTTGGGAAACCCTCTGTCACACAGTGAGGTCTGATTACATGGTGACCGCCTGAAAACCGAACCACAGCCTGTCTCACTTTATGGGAATAAAGAATTAAATGAAGGGTTTTTAGAAGCCTGGATGACATTACATGGAAAATATATCTCAGCTGAGAAAGATTTCTACAGATCATCTCACATCTACAGGATTGTCTTATTAATATTTGCATCCCATGATTAAATCTCTGCTAAGTACCGTATTTGGATTAATTCACACTGGCATGACAGTGTATTTAAACTTTTCAGTTATCTCCATTTAGTCAACTTTAAAAATAAAAATAGTAAACATTAGGTTTGATTTCACCACGATAATGTTTGGATAAATGCAGCCTGTTATTCTGCTTCATTTATTGGAAAACTAGTTTGTGACGACCTACAGGTGTCTTAATCTTATTTATTCATTTTTTTTCATCGGTTTTGTCATTTTTTTTTTGTTGTTAGTTTCAAAGTACATTTTATTTTTTTGTGCATTTAGATTTTTATGCTCTCAGATCACTGGCTGCATTTTATCTGTGCATCAACTCAGCTTTATTAGTGTAAATTAGTCCTTTTCTCTCAGCCTCTCTGCTTACCACTTGTTTCTGCTGTTCTTAATTATCCCATCAGATTCTATGTCTCTCTCCACACTTCCCTCAGCATCACTGTTGGCCGTTGTTTCCAGCTGGATCCTCCCCCTACACTGCCTGCCATCTCCTATATTTCACATTCTCCTCTTTCTCCATATCATCTTCATCTTGTTTTGTTTTAGTAATTTTTTCTCATTTCTATCATTAAATCTTCATTTTGCACATCCCATAGTCCTGTTTGTGCTTCGGTCCTGCAAACAATATTCAGATAATGGGAATGGTTGGTATGATTCTCTTCTTTTTAACCAGTTTCAAACATTTTACCCCCCTCCAAAGAAAGACAATTGTCCGAAAGCCACCGAATATAATGCCTGAGATGCTAGAATACCCAGGTCACAATGTAAAACTTTTTTGTTGTTGTTTTTCATCAGTAAGGATTAAAATGATGCCTAAGAAGAAATTAGTAACTTTAGAAATTTCATCAAATGGAAAAGCCAACTATTTTCTTGAGATAGGTCACAGTGACAAGAAGCATGTTGGAAAATATCAAGATGCTTTTAGACCCCCCCAAAATTTTATTAATAGCCCAAAGTGGTGGCAGTATCATGCTGAGGGCCATCACTGATGCATGCATCTTTACAACTTCACCTCAAACCAGCTGCTAGATAGTCTAGGCTTGTTTCCAACCTCTGTGTTAGTAAATTAAACTTTATTGTGCAGACATAATTGCTCATATTAAAGGTTTCAAACTGAACAATTTAAAGATCAGATTATTTTATATGTCAGCTGATGTGATGATGTAACGTTCAGGATGTACCAAGTCATAACCAAGTTTGGTTTTATTGTCTTTCTGAGGGACTCAGGGGGGATGGAGGGACTGTGGAGCGTTTCCAAGCAGCTCACTGCAGATGATTCCTGCACCCGAAGGCGCCGCCGCCCTGCAGAGAGCCGGTAATCATTGGAAATGTGCTGTCCTGTGCACACAGCGGCTGCCCTAATAAGCGCAGCAACCTTTTCTATATTTATAACGCCTCATTACAGCCTCCTTTATTCTTCAGACAACATGCTGTTTTTACTAGGTATTAATTAGAGAATGATAACAAACCAGTCTCAAGAGCTAAACGGGAGGATCAGTAACTCTACCGTAAGCTTTATGTATACCTGGACTCAAGAGGCTGTTAGTTTATCTTAGATAAATAAAATAATAAAAATACAAGCAGCTCCTTACAGTTTAGCTTCTCTCTGTAGCATTAAGGTAATCCATCTCGTAATTATTATTTATGAAATTATTGTCTGAATGAGCAGTTGCTCTGATCTCCTTCTTCCAGTCTGCTGGATCAGGATAATCTGCATCCTATAAAATGTTTTATTTCTGAGCTCTTCATTTTTTTTAATGGCATTTCTGACCAGGAAGGCAGAAATGAGATCAATTAAACTGATATTGGAAAAATCTGGAAAGCAAAGACACATTAGAAATCAATACAAACTGAGGTACATCTAAATAAAACACCTTCCCAGGAGTGGCTGTAGGTAAAAATACGCCCAATGCTTGCTAACGCTTTTATACCCTGTGAGAATGTTTATATCTCTCAACATCATCTTTAATCATGTCTAAGTGGACATTTGGCAAAATTTCATTTTAAATTTTATTTTATTCTAAAATGTATTTTAATTGAAACATTTATCTTATTCTATTTTTATGTGTTTATGTATTTTAGCCTTTAGCTTTTATCTTATGTTCCTTAACTGTGATTCCTGTACAGCACTTTGGTCAACCCCGGTTGTTTTAAATGTGCTTTATAAATAAAGTTTGAGTTGAATTGAGTTGAGTTATAGATCTTTTACCGGTATTTTGTTTTAGCAGCATTTTTAAGTCATAAAGAAGTCATCTTCCAGAATGACCCATGTTTAATGTCCTAACACCATATATATATCTGTACCGGAGGCACCATCAGCTCATTTGGACATGTGCAACCTGATATTCATCCAGATCGCCATTAATAATATATTTACAGTACATAATGTTCTTGTGTCCTTAAATCATCAAATAAAGCAAACTATATTGTATGAAAAATGATTAATGACTTTTGTGAAAGAATTGGATGCGTTTCAGACTCTTAGTTATATTGCTTGTCTGACGTCCTGATCAGAAAGCAGATTTATTGAAATTATATAAATTCCCAAATGCTCCTATTTATTGGTGTGGTTTTAAATTCACATATCCATCTGAGTCTCTGTAACTATTGATTTATTTCAGCTAAAACATTTTTTGCAACATTTAGACATTTTCTTCCTGAAGTGTCATGATGGACCCCTAAATGACATCCAGCTTATTCTTTGTTGATTTTCTCTCTCAAACATGGTGCTGTAGTTAAGTTTCCAAGCAAAAAGGTCGCCTCTTATGGGAGCTGAGTGTAGCTCGTACCAGACTTGTGTGACAGAGGTGAGTGCGTCCCTCGGCTCCGCAGAGAGAGCTCACAGATGGCCCAGAGGTGGCTGAGGAGGGGGGAAGGTCTTCTAAAGCTGCCATTCCCGTCTCTGACTCATTCCTTTTCGCTTTTGAAGTCGAGTGAATCACATGCATAATGAAACGGGGGGGGGAAATTCAGCCTATTTGAGAGTTTGACGTCTCTCAGGCCAGCTCACCCCCACTCCCCCCACCCCATCCCCAACATGCAGCTGGCAAAGGAGGAGAAGGAGGAGGATGTCAGCTGTTAAAGGAGGAAAGTGGCAAAAAAAGGCGGCAGGATATGAGGGGATACAGTGCAAATACAGCGTAGTGAGAAAGTATTTCCCCCCTTTTACAGATTTCTTCTATTTCAGATGAAGAAAATTACAATTACATAGAACGATAACATCACTAAATACGTAAGAAAGCTATCAGAATCAACCTGACCACGTGTGAAAAAATGCTTTCTCTTCAGTATTTATACAACATTTTTGTGGTTAAAAACAGGTAACCACTCTCTGGTGCCTTGGCCAATTGCTCTTTTCAGTTGTGCTAATTTCATCCATGTTGTTCAAGCGAATGAACAGCATTTTTAAGGTCATGCTAAATCATCCTAGCCCGATTTATGTCCAGCCATTCAGACATAGACTTGCTTTTGCTGCTTAAAAATCCAAGTCCACTTGAACCTGCTTTACACCTGATATTCTGCTAAACAGTTCTGAGTCAAAGCGAGTCCCCTTGAGTCCTTAAGCAGTAATGCAGCACTAAAGCAGACCGTATTTGACTGTATGATATTCTATGCTATGGCGTCACATCTATTTCAAAACTCCTATAGCGAAATATACACACTCGTATGTATGTTAACCTACTTCTGCACATGGTTTATCTACCACTGCACACGATCACACAGGAAGTAGTGTCAGGAAGCCTTCCGTTTCTGCAAGGCCCAATCAGGAGCAGGCCTACAGAAGAGATTTTTCTGTCAAACCTGTCAAAAAACTTTTCTTTGCACCAAAAGGAAATTAGTCCGAGGGCAGAGATGCTTTGGAGAGCGCAGCTGTCCTCGACTGTGGCCGCTGGACAGAAAATCATGGGTGCAGTGAGATCCCGAGCACAATCCAGAGCGTCTGTGGAAGGAGCTGGTGCACATGTAGAGCGATGTTTCTCCTCTCGAAGTGGCGTTCTCGTGCATGGGTGATTTAGTCGTGCATTGGTAAATAAAACATGTGCAGAAGTAGTTTTTTGTAGTTGTATTTTGTTTGCAGGTTTTGAACTAAATGTGACGCCATACTTGTTCTCTTCTGGCAATAAAGGAAGGCGAGGCGCTCCTTTGAGGATTGAGCACCGTTCCATGTTTTCTCGTATATAGATAACTGTATGTTGGAGTCCAAGCTTTAAAAATCATTTATCAATTCTTGGTAGAATGATAGAAGCAAATGGCTCCTCACCAGATTTTGGAAAATAATTTAAATGCAGGTGAAAATGAGATTTTTCAGATCTTTTAGCCTACTTCTTGGTGTCAGATAATTACGATACATGTCGCATCTGCAGGTTGTTGAAACGACACAACCAAAATTTGGTTAATTGAATTTGATTATCGATTTAAATAGGGGAACAAACAGACTTTCAGAAAAGGTCAGGTTAGTTTGGATAGCTTTACCCCACAATTAATAAAAACTGCATGTTGCTATTTTATGATTTTAACAGTAGATTGGTCTGAAAAGCTTAAAATATAGCAAAAAGCAAATCTTTAGGGAGAAATACTTGTTCACCACATTGTGTATCTACATCCTAACAAGCTCTTGTCACTTGTAATCAATTTTAAAATACTTCAGGCCAACTTCTTTTAAGGTAGAGAGAAAAAAACAGCCCAAGAAGATGAGAAAGATTTGAAAATCTAAAAGATCTTGTTAGGATGGGTGATTTTTGCACTGTAACGTCTGAAGAGGGAGAGAAAGAAGCACAAGGGACCATTTTTATGAGTATTTTCTCCACAATCATTCTCTCCTTTCCAATCTCTTCATCACGCTCATATACATCAGCGTTTGTTAGTGAAAAGCAAAAACACGCAAGTCGATCTGACATCCAGCAGAGGATGAGGGGATGAGGATGTGCTTGGATGACGATAGACTGTAACATCGTCATACATGAGCAACAAAAAGACCCACGCAGGACTGACATTTGCTGTTTATTTGTTCTCATCTTTTTTGGCTGTGAAGACCAAAGCGTATTGTTTCCCATTCTGCAGCAATGTCGGCGTACTTTTGTGCTTCTCTGTGATAGAAAGACTCTTTCAAAGGAAGCCAAATGATTTTAAAAAATGCCAGTCCTTGAAAGAAAAGATAAATTGTGAGGAGGGAAAAAAGAACAGAGAAGATGTTACAATGGTTAGCTAAGATGGATGGAACGATGAGAAAATAAAGGGAAAGGCAACATAGAGAAAGGTATAACTCAAAAAAAGAAGCTGATGGTCTCACGTTCAAAGTCAAGGAAAACTATTGGCCCATGCTCAAGTTCGGCGCAAGCCAGCACTTTCAGGAGGTTTCCCATGAGCCCCCTGGAACAGAGAGAGGGAAGAAGTCTGTGGGTGATGAGGGGATGGCCCTGTCGGGGGTGGTGCGCACATGGGTGTATGGATGTGTGTGTGTGAGCCGTATTTGTGTGTGTGGCGTGCAGGAGGTGACGTGGTGGAGGTGGGCGACCGGATGAGAGAATGGCATGATGGGAGTAAGGCCTGGGTGATGCATGAAAACACTGACAACAGAGCGGCTTCAGTCGCACTCTCATGGATGCTAAACAATTCAGAGCAGACCCACATTTAAAGGCCCTGATTCAGAACCACAAAGTTCTACCAATGAAAATCAAACGTGTAAGATTTAATCCCATTAATCTTTGGCCACATAAAACAGGAAAATGTTAAGAAAAACTCTCATACAACAATTTCTAATTTACTATGATAGGCATAGGCTGGTTTTAAAGTATGCCACTGTCTAAAATGATCCTTTTTTAAAATCTATTGATATTTCATCATGCTGTTTTTTAAACACCTTTAAGTAAGAAAAGGCTAGCTTCCCATCCCCCACTTGTTGCTGTGAGCTGATAGCTTTGTATGAAGGTTCTAATTAAGATGGTTCCCTTTAACTTTAATGATTAAAAATGTCAGTTTTTTGTTTCAAAATGGCGTCTATAGGCTTGCTAGCAAAGCAGCTAATATAGCTAAAGCAGTTATTGTAGCTAAAATAACCTTGTCGGGCTCCCAGCATTAGCATAACAATGCTGTAGCATTACTTTATAACTAAATTTAGTTGGTCTTTCTTCTCCTTTTGTTTTTATTTACCACATGTTTAGCTTTAAAGCTAGTTTCTTAGCTTTTTGGTGTATTAGCTAGCATGCTACTTGAGACTAAATTAAGATTATTTAAACAAAAATCCACACACTTCCGATTCGGTGCTCATGTTGCATCCTGAGAGCACCGTTTTTCATAAAGTTTGTGAAAAAAAAAAATATTTGCAATTTTATTACATCCAGAAGAAGTGCATGCACCTCTATCACTAAGTTTGAATTTTTCTACTTCCTCTTTCTTTGTACAGCAGACTGAGGATGAGGATTTAAGCAGTTTTGTCAGTCTCACTTTTATCACTCGGGCATGTTTTAGGAGGTGTTACAACACGGTGGCATCAGAGGGCTTCTGATAAGCCTCAGGAACGTTGCAGGAATCCAAATATGCATCAGGTGGAAGTTTAAACTGCTGAGTCATTTCTTTGACAAATGCATGAGGAATTTTCACAATCTATAAACATTTGTCACTAAAGCCTCAGTTAGCTAAAGCTGTCAAGTAAATACACTGCAAAAATGATCTAGAAATAAGTAAAAAATTCTTAAATTAAGTGTATTCACCCTTAATTTGAGTAGGTAAATGAGATAGTTTGCCAATGGAATGAGTAATTTTACTTTTAAAATAAGATAATTAGATAATATGCACTTGAAATAAGACAATGCAATTGTGTTTTCTTACTTTAAGTGTAAATTCTCTTGTTCCATTGGCAAAATGTCTCTTTTACCTCCTTAATTCAAGAACAAATCAACTTATTTTAAGAAAAAATGACTTATCAAGATTTAGATTTTTGGCAGTGTATAACTTGAAAGCTCTGAACTGCAGAGAAAATCAGACTTTATCGGAAACTATTTGGGTTTAAACATGAGTTGAGTAAATGCCAGAATTCCTGTCTTCCCTAAGCATGTGTGGGATTTCTCTGGGTACTCCAGTTTTCTAGCCATAAGGCCTGTTGTCTGAAACAGGTACAATGTCCCCCAATGACTCCAAAAAGGATTTAAGTGCATTTTTTTGGCAGCACTTACTATACAACAGCAATTTAGTTATGCTTATTTTTTATTTTTTTATTTTTGCTAATGCCATAATACTTTAAAACCAAAGTATTTTTGACGGTCAAGACATTAGAATGTCCTTCCCGCCTATGCCTCGCCTGCTGCAGATAACAGTGTTCTGATTCACAGAAATGCACGTGTCTAAAGATGGTATCTACACGATTATCTGACTGAGAGTGGGACTGAAGAGCATCTGATAATGAGAAACAACACCCTCAACAACACTCCATCACACCATCAACGACTAAGCCGATTGCATCCGAACGTGTCCCCCTCCGAGCCCCGTCAACCCACCTCCCACGGCGCCACCTTCCGCTCCACACCCACAGTTCAAGCACACAGACACGTGCACACACACCCTGGCGCTCACTTACTTTCAAAGTCCAGGAAAAAATGCGGACAGTTCTCTAAATCCTTGCCAAGGACCTTAATGAGGTTCCCCATGGCCAGCGACCTGGACAGGAGGAAACAACAGAATGCATACAGAACCTGGAAGCCCGCTTGGAAAAACACACAACAGACACATGGAGAGCACCTCAGGTTTGTTCACCTATCTGCCTATTCCCTCTTTGTCTCTGCATCCTTCTGATGAGGCAGCATCTTCAGAGCGGAAGCAGATATTCCAGTCATCAGTGACACTGATCACAGTTTATGTCCAATACGCTGTATCCACTTACAGCAGGGTCTAAATCCAGCACTGAATCATTTAGTTCACTTAGTGGGAGTCACTAGAGCTGGGCAGTGGTTTTAATCCATTTACATCACAAAAGTAACCCAATAAAAACCCAACATATAACGACTGCTCCCATCTAATGGTTTTTATAAGCGGTGGTCTATAGATGCTTTATGGAGAATTTTCTTAAACCCTCGAACCGCCAGGGCAGATGCCAGGGCTTAAGAAACCACAAACGGCGTAAGAAGTAGAGTGCTTTGCAAAAGTATTCAGATAGGTTGAATATAACGTGTATTTTATTGGGGATTTCATGTGATAGACCAACAAAAAGTAGCACGTAATTGGAACGTAATGAGAAACTATGTATTTTCTCCATCAACCAGCTCTTTAAAATCTAGCCACTTCTTTCTAGAGACAGATAGTTCTGCTCATTCTTATTTTCCAGATAGAGTGGATGGTTCTGAATTTCTCTGGACTTTCTCTTGTCTATTTTCTCACACATGAATATTGTCTGATCTAAACCAGGGCATTCAGCTGTGGCTGAAACTTTTGGGTTGTTTTCCTGCTGAAGGATAAAGCTTGAGACATGCAAGTTTCAAGTTATCTGTTGAACTTTCCTTTCAGAATGAACCTGTATTTGGCTTCATCTATCATCTCATCAAGCCTTAAGCATCCTCCTTCTTGCTGAAAAACAAGTATTCTTTTTAAATTGTCTCTCTAATTCTGGATTTCTTTAGTTGCCAGATCCTTGGACTGCATAACTTAAAAGATTTCCTGTAAAGCAGTGGCGGATGCTTATCTCTGAAACAGGGGAGGCTCAGCGGTGTTAATTAAATCTGAACGCCACGTATTATATTTACAAATGTTGAAACGCATTGAACACATCACTGCAATGGGTGAAAATAGCTGCTACGAATGCTCGGAAACAAAAAATCCACACAAGATGATTGCTGTGACTGATTTATCACTTTCCCCTCTCCACTCACGAGTTAAACCTCCTCTCTGTCTGGCCACAGTCAGACATTCTAAGAGGTTTATCCTCAGCGGAGGCGACATAGTTTAGCGTCTTATCCAATCACGGCTCTACTGTCTCGCTGCTTCCCTCCCTTGATTGAGGCTCAAACCACAACAGGGATTTCTGAATGGGTCCGAGACACAAAATAAACAGTTGATTAATGCACAACATACTCATGAAATCAGGCGCATTTTAGAGCTTATTTAAGCCTGGTTCAGCTGGAGGTTTCTTCCTGTTAAAAGGGAGTTTTCCCTCTCCACTGTCGCCACAAGCATGCTTAGTGTGAGGGATTGCATTTGAGTCAATGAGTCGATGCAATCAACTGGTTTTCATTAGATAGAAAACTTTGAATCAATTTGACTGTATGATCTGGTTGAACTGTAAAGTGCCTTGAGATGACATGTGCTGTGAATTGGAGCTATATTAATAAACTGAATTGAATTGAATTAATGCAGTTTATTGAGTACAGTTAAGAGGTTTAGCGTCCCTATTCAACGAGAAATCGCCACTGCTTTAAAAATAAAATCTCCCACCTCCACTGTGGATCTCTTTAGCTCCATCAGAGTTAAAATGTCTTTTTGGCTCCTTCCCTCATTGATTCTCTCCTTGCACAGGCTGTCTATTGTTGTGAACGGCCATATGTCGGAAAATATGCTCAGTCTAATGTTAGTTCAAAGCTTTAAAGGTAAAGAATACTGTTTTATACCATTACCTTGATTTAAACTTCTAGTCAGCCTTATCCTTAATCTTTCCGCTTTGGTCTTTCATCATGCTGCTATTCCTCTATTCTCTAATTAAGCCTCTGAGCACAGAGCTGCATATTTACTATTAAATCACTGGATCAATTGATCAAACAGGATTTTGTTTTGCGTTTAACAAATTGTGCCGCACTCTTCACAATTTATATCTTGGTTTATCACATAAAATTCACATTTAAATAAAAAAACATGTGTTTGTCACTGAGCCATGTCGTCGTGTGAAAAAGCCCCAAAGGCATTGCTTATTTTAAAAAGGCAACGTAGGTAAAGTATAATACAAACCACAAACAGCTAATTTTTTTAACATTAGCATGAGAAAGAGGAGGCAGCCGACTAACAAATGAAAGAAACACACGAACATAGCGGTGGAAGCCTAAAACCTTTTTTCCCTATTGAACAACAGGACTTTTGCAACAGCCGCCAAGTTTTACTTCCTCTGCTGTCTTTATGTGCTATGTTAGCACTCAGGAGGGGCCTGCCGGTTTCTGCAGGAAGGATTTACGTCCAACATGAGCATGTTTATGAGATTCCACCGTCGCGTGTGCAAGAGTAAGAACAAGGACCAGTCTTGTTGTCGTTATTCAGCAAGAACGGCTGTTGCAATGCAGCACCCTGGTACCGCTGGACGAACCTGACATTCACCGTCATCTCCAATGATGCCCTTACCTCCTCCAGAATCATCCTGTATCTACATCAGCAATGAGGAACATCTGCTGCTGAGTCACACATGAGTTTAGCCCACACCTCATCTAACATTGTCTTATAACCTTAGAGAATACATGAATAGGAGAGTTTGACAAGTGGGCTGCCGTGAAGCAGCCGAGCTGAGTTTCATACAAAGGGATGAAAACTCGGTGACGCAATGTTTCTCTTTGTCACAGGTAGCTTTGCGTCAGGCTGCATCCACACGCATACATGTGAGCACGCTGAAGAATCTGAGACTGGAGCAGCATGAGGTCCATCCAGAGAGCAGCGGATGGTTGCCAGGATACCGTTGGGCTCGTAATGCTGCCAGCTCGCCGCAGCTGAAGATGGAGGGAAGCTGCTTCTGATATGTGTCCATAAAATGAAATCAAACCTTGCTTGGTGGAAGCAGGAGGGCAAAACATATCAAGAATAATGAAATCTTAAAAGCACCTGGAGTACACAAACGACTAGGTCTTACCCTCTTTTCCTCTAAGTGTAGCTTTTCTTCCTCAGTTTCACCTCAAAGTCTCTCCTTCAACTGTCTTGGTTGTCTTTGTGTTTTCCCAAATCGCCGCAGTGAGTAAATCCCCAGTTATTCCAGCTCAAAATCCCACAGTGGCTCCAGTTGCCACTCGTCGCCTCTCCGGAGATGGATGTAAACTCGTGCTCTTGGTCTCTCTGCCTCCCTCTCTTTGAGCATAAAGTCCACTTCACACTTCTCTTTTCTCGATCTATTTAAAGCCCCGTGGTTTTCTCTATTAGCTTCGACCCAGATGCTGCTCTGTTCCTTCTGTCTTTTTTCACACTGGGTTTTTAGGGGATGGTGCTATGCAGGGTTGAGGTTTTCGCCACTCACAGACCAGAAGCCGTGCTAATTTATACACCTATTGCTCTTTCTGATGTTTGTCTGTCACCTTTTACAGTATGTTGTTCTTGCACAGGAAAAACTCATTCTGTCTTTCAGTTCATGACATCGAATTGGGTTCCTCAAAAATACTGCCCAAAGCTTTCCTTTCTGCCTCACTTCTCCATTCCATTCAGTAAGCAGTACTCTCTCAACTCCTTTGGCCTTGTTTTGTCAAAGCACATCTCTGTCAGGGGGCACTCACTCTCGTTGGTGACCGTTAGGTGCAAAGACGTCTAAGGGGAAGGAGGATAGCATTGCATAATAGTCACTGGATCCATGAATGCTGGGGAATTGAGGCACAGCATTCTTGGAATAGGACATCCAGTCTGTGGCTTCTGGTTGCAGTTTCTCATACACACAAACAGACCCGTTTAGACAGCCAATGTGAAACTGGAGCAAAGAGCCTCTCTTATGCAACTGAGAAGCAAAGAGAAAGCAACCCGAGGGGCTCCTTGAGTGTCAATAAGGACACATCTCTGGGACCACAAAGCAAACCTGGTTTAGACGGCGAGCCAAGCAGCTGAGCTAAGCCATTCCTGGCTCCTTTCAGCGTCCTCCCAAAGAATCCTCCTTTTACGGCTCAGCAGCTGAGCAAAGACACCACTGACTCTCTCTGCCAAGTCTAACCTCTATTAACTCACCAATTCGAGCTTCCTCTACCCTCAGAGAGTCTTATTGAAAGCCGCAAACTGCCCATAAGTGACGGGATACTTATTGGCCGGGGGACCAAAGCCACTCAGCAGCTGCCCTGACTAAGCCAGATGAAGCAAATTTTACATTCTCAGCTCTCCTCTCTACTCCAACCAATTTAACTTTATATGTGCTGTTAACTATTTGCTCACTCTCTTTCACTTTCCTACCTTCTTTGCTTGTCTTTATCCCCCTGGAACACTTCACTGCATCAATAAGGGCTTCTCAGCTCCTCACTCTGGTTACAGCATCCGTGCCCAAAACCTGGAAAAGACAGACAGAAGGAAAGAGGATCATCATCAAACAGTAGACCTCAGTGAAAGCCTTGGTGCTGAGCAGGCAGGCAGTGAAGCAAAGCTTTCTGTTTCTGTTCTGTCGGGCAAAAAAATGATACCAGTTTTGCATCAAGGTGTTCTATTAAAACGCTATGGTTCTGCAGTAAATCAGGTGCTAGGCAAGTTGGTGGAGATTGTTAGGTCTTCAACGCAGACCAAAAAAACCCTAAACTCAGAGCAGCTCTTCTGCAGTGCATTATTAATAAAAAACATACCTTGCAACACATTTTAAAGCTTAGACTAGGCCATCTGTGGGTCTTTTCAATATGAACCTATAGCATGACATAGAGACTGTACATATCAAGAAATGTAGAGTTAATTTTGTAAATTGATCTGCATCCATCTGCACTTTAATATACGCTGTGGGTGACAGAAAAAAGCAGAATTTCTGCTATAAATAGTTCTACGAGAAGTGCAAATGTTTTTTTACAGGAAGTAATAGACGGTCAGCCCCAAATAGACACAATGCTGAGACACATAAGACACCTCAAGGTTGGTTAACTTTAGGATTTAATTTGATAATGATGGATATATTATGAGAAGTGAATGAATCCAGAACTTTTTAAATATTGTATTTACGTGGAAGATACCAGAAAAGAGAATTCGGCTTAGACTCAGTCTTGTAGGAGGTGAAGACCTAAAGACATGACTGTGTTGTTGGTCTTAACTGGGCTTAAGTAATCTTAGCTTTAACCCAAAAACACTTATTTGTGATGTAAGGTTTAAGCAAATTTAGAGAAATGGGTCATAAAACAAAAAATGAAAAAAGCAAATTAGCATTTTTTGCTTGCAGAAACAAGTTTGTTTTAATAGAATCACAATAAGTTACAGTGTCGAATCATAATCAGTCAATTAAAATGAGCTAAGGGATCAAGTAATGTTTATTCTTGTAAAAACGTCTTCTTTTCTCTATCCTGAGAGAAATGTGCTGTTAAAGCCATAGAGCTTATAAATCAAAGTAAGCAAAAAAAAAAACCCTACACAACCTGATCTCAAAACTATCCGTTAAAATAATGCCTGAAAAGCAGAATTTACATGTTTTCTTTTTGCTTTAAAGCGTGTTAAATAATCTCATTTCTGTTCATCTCTCATGGCCTGAGCCCCGTCTTACAGCCGCTGACTGGTGTAACTATTAACACAGCTGCTGCTGCCCTTGCATCATCGGATCTCATCAGCAGAGAGTGCAGACTGGAGGAAGGTGGGATATTTGCGGAGTGGTTGCTAGGGAAACACAGCCTCTTATTCTCATGGCAACGCACAGTCCGCTATGGCTGGCTGTTTTCAGCATTTGTTGGATGGTAATGGACCATACTTGGTTTGGTATTTTTCTGTTTGCAGTATTTATCTTCAGAGGGCGGCATAATCATTTTCCACTCCTGGAAATACACCCAGTGTTTTACAGCTGGAATGTAACGTTAACTGATCCAGGTTAAATCATTAATGACTACTAAATGTCTGTGTATTGATAAAATCCTTTTTAGGTGAGCGTTTGATTTAAAGATGTGGAAAGACGAGGTTCACACCTGTGGGTAGTGTGGAGGAAATTGCATCTGTTAAGTGAGAGTTATCTGATTCACTCTGTTCATTTGTGTGTATAAGAATTATTTGATAAAATGTATAAAATTGCATCAGCCTACAGTATGCAAAACCTGTTGTGTCATGATCTTCGAGTTTTAATTTCTGTTTTACCCTTATTTTTCCCTATATTCTGACCCATATTGACTCTCTTATATCAGCCAATAATGCTATTTCCTCAGTTGGGAAAGTTGCTTTCTGGATTGAAATATTCAATGTATGAAAATGAGTACAGGTTTCCAATTTTATCCTTTCCCCAGAGCACTTACAGTACTGATGGATTATTATTTTCAGTTCTGCTAATTAGTTAAGAGCTTCCTTCTCCTGTTTAACCTTCTGTTTGCATTCTCACCACTTTATAATTCCGCTATGAGCAATAGTTTGTATTATTGTATTTCCCAGATAAGTTTTAATACTTTATATAGAGGATATTTATATATAGAGGGGGGGGGGGGTAGCGGCAGCCTAGTGGTTAGGGCATAGGGCTTTGAATCCTGAGATTGTGACTTCGATCCCCCACTCCCACAGACCGCCACTCTGGGTCCCTGAGCTAGACCCTTAACCTCACACTGCTCCCTGGGCGCCTCACAATGGCAGCCCACTGCTCCCCAAGGGGATGGGTTAAATGCAGAGAAGTAATTTCCCTCTGGGATTATTAGAGTATATAAAATAAAAAAAAATAATAATAAAAAAAAAAAAATATTTGCTTCTACAACTCTCCTTTACTCTAACCCATGACGCAAATAAAATAATTGAGCTACAAAGGGTGTTTTTTCTGTCATTTATTATGTCATTTTAAGTAAAAACGTGGTCTTTAAGTATTAATAGGGTGTGACTTTATCAAAGCATTGTTGCCCTAAGATTGTTTTTTTTGTTTTTCTATACCTGCTATCAAACGGGAAAAAAAGTCTCACCAAGTGTCTTTCCTGGTGTGAATCAGAATCAGAATCAGGTTTATTGCCATTGTTAGTGAAGGAGTTCACAAACTAGGAATTTTTTATGGTACAATCGTGCAACATGAAACATATAATATGGAATAGGTAAATAAAATTATAAAAATATCTAAAACACTGAATGGTATAAGGCATGCAATAAAATAGACTAATATATCGATTAGGATAAAAATATGGATATAAAATATAAAAAGTAAAAAGTAAAATAGCATCTTACAAGGTAGTGCAAATAGAGCAGTGTAAATGGCATGGGCAGGTTATAGAGTCTGACATAAACAAGTAGTAACTTAATGAAGAGGTTGGATGAATGGAAGCATTGGGGCATCAACTACATGTATTCTAAGTAAGCTGTGTCTCTATCTTAGAAATAAACAAATCAGACTTATTTCTGTATGTCTACAAGGTCAGCATACTCCCATTGTTTTTCTTTTCCATTGAAAGGACTCCCTGTAGTTTATTTCAACCAGCAGTTCTTAACCAGCAGTAACTTGATACTAAGACTTTTTTATTATTTAGCTCAAGTTTAAGGATTCCTCTGCAGTCACAGACTCAATGTAACCGGCTATGCTCATCATGAAACTTCATATGTGGGAAGACAGTCAGATATGATATGATGAGCCGATAATTGCGCTTGTTGTCTTGGAAAGAATGTGGATTCATCTGTTTTGAATATCTACCCGACTGGTCTTAATGTTTTTGTCTTGTACAAAGTGCTTAGAGCATTTAATCTTTGTAGATTTGTGTTGCGTGAAAAACGAAGTTGAGCTGAAGTAACATGAACGGAAGACATGGTGTCCAGAGACTGGTCCAAAATAAAGACGGTTAAAATTTAAAGCTACGTTCATAAAAATTGAATTGAAAGGCTCGTTTTGGAACACGTCTACAGAGCCGTGACAGGCCAGGAGGAAGCTAAAGGCACTGAGGAGTTGTTGGGTGTTTAAATATGAGGATAAACTGGAAAACAAAGCTGTTTTAAGAATCAAGAATGTACATTGTGGAAAGTGTATATATATATATATATATATATATATATATACGGTATATAGAAATCAACAAGGAAGACAATATTGGANCCAGGAGGAAGCTAAAGGCACTGAGGAGTTGTTGGGTGTTTAAATATGAGGATAAACTGGAAAACAAAGCTGTTTTAAGAATCAAGAATGTACATAGTTGAAAGTATATATATATATATATATATATATATATATATATATATATATATATATATATACAGTATATAGAAATCAACAAGGAAGACAATATTGGAGCTGTTGTATATAAGGTTGGTATGGATTTCTGAAGTGGGTCAAACCTAATCAGTCATTTAACCGGAAGACTTTGATATCGACACTGCACTTATGAGCGTCGTCATGAATCAGTGTCCCGTTAATCAAATATTAGACTGCTCTGCCTTCTCCAGAGAGCAGACGCTACCAGAGGGGTCTGGTCAGCTGGAGGGGAGCAGCTTTAATCGAACAGCAGCTCAGCCACATGAAAATCCACAAAGTCGTTGGTGAATTAGTAATTGGTGAAAAGAAAAGAGGCAGAAGTCTCGAATTCCCCATGTTATTACTGAAAGCAAAAAAAATCATCATGAAATGTTTTAATCCAATCCATGTTTGAATTTGTTCTCTCTCTCCAGCCACCATTGATCTCCAGGCTCCACTTTTATGCATCCTGATTGGTCCACCTTCCGATCGCACACCTGTTTGACCCGTTCCTGTGATGCTCTGGCCTTCTCAGCATGTTCTCCTCTATAGATAGAGGCGAGTTCGGGAGTTTGTAGTCTTAGAAGAGAAATGTGCATAATAAGTGGTTTGATTTAGGTAGTTTGTCATGGCTGGTGTAAAGCTTATAGTGATATTTTTAAATGAAGTTGCTGATATTTTAAGGTAGTTTATAGATAATCTCAGAGGAATGTTAAGGCTATATAAAGACAGAAAAAAACAATATATATATGGGATTCTGAAATAAACTGGGACCCAATGCTGTCAAATGTCACTAGACCATCACTGCTAATGGAATCCTGCAGCCAATTGGCCCCAGGCCAAAGACACACTTGTTTACTGACAGGAGCTCAAAAAGATCCTGCAGAAATATTGCTGATGCCTGGTACTTTTACTGTGTTGCAGCGTGTAGCACCAAAATGCCTTTCCAATCTGGATTAATCCCAAAAGGAATATAGAAGGTACCTTTATAGCATTTATAACAAATTGGTTTCAAATACTAAACCTAGTGGTTTAGATTAAATATGAAGATTACTTCTGCAGTAAT